TTTTTTGTTTAACAGATTGATAATTTCGATTATTTGTGGTTATGTTGTAATTTAAATATCGTGTTGTAAAGTTATAAAATTGAAACCCCTGACTTTTATGAAACAAGGTCCCCTTGATCCAAACTGAAATAGAACTGAAGTTGAACTGAACTAGAACTGAATGAGAACTGAACTAGAACTGAACTAGAACTGAACTAAAACTGAACTAGAAACTGAACTAGAACTGAACTAAAACTGAAATAAAACTGAACTAGAACTGAACTAGAACTGAACTAAAACCTGGAACTAAAACTGAACTAGAACTGAACTAAGAACTGAACTAGAACTGAACCTAGAACTGAACTAGAACTGAACTAGGAACTGAACTAGAACGGAACTAGCAAACTGAACTAGAATTCTGAAACTAGAACTGTGAACTAGAACTGAACTAGAACTGAACTAGAATGAACTAGAACTGAACTAGAACTTAACTAGAACTGAACTAGAACTGAACTATAACTGAACTAGAACTGAACTATAAATGAACTAGAATGAACTAGAACTGAACTGAACTGAACTAGAACTTAACTTAACTGAACTAGAACTGAACTAGAACTGAACTAGAACTGAACTATAACTGAATCTAGAACTGAACTATAACTGAACTAGAAACTGAACTAGAACTTAACTAGAACTGACTAGAACGAACTAGAACTGAACTAGAACTGAACTAGAACTGAACTAGAACTGAACTAGAACTGAACTAGAACTGAACTAGAACTGAACTAGAACTGAACTAGAACTGAACTAGAACTGAACTAGAACTGAACTAGAACTGAACTAGAACTGAACTAGAACTGAACTAGAACTGAACTAGAACTGAACTAGAACTGAACTAGAACTGAACTAGAACTGAACTAGAACTGAACTAGAACTGAACTAGAACTGAACTAGAACTGAACTAGAACTGAACTAGAACTGAACTAGAACTGAACTAGAACTGAACTAGAACTGAACTAGAACTGAACTAGAACTGAACTAGAACTGAACTAGAACTGAACTAGAACTGAACTAGAACTGAACTAGAACTGAACTAGAACTGAACTAGAACTGAACTAGAACTGAACTAGAACTGAACTAGAACTGAACTAGAACTGAACTAGAACTGAACTAGAACTGAACTAGAACTGAACTAGAACTGAACTAGAACTGAACTGAACTAGAAAGAACTGAACTAGAACTGAACTAGAACTGAACTAGAACTGAACTAGAAACTGAACTAGAACTGAACTAGAACTGAACTAGAACTAGAACTGAACGAACTGAACTAGAACTGAACTAGAACTGAACTAGAACTGAACTAGAACTGAACTAGAACTGAACTAGAACTGAACTAGAACTGAACTAGAACTGAACTAGAACTGAACTAGAACTGAACTAGAACTGAACTAGAACTGAACTAGAACTGAACTAGAACTGAACTAGAACTGAACTAGAACTGAACTAGAACTGAACTAGAACTGAACTAGAACTGAACTAGAACTGAACTAGAACTGAACTAGAACTGAACTAGAACTGAACTAGAACTGAACTAGAACTGAACTAGAACTGAACTAGAACTGAACTAGAACTGAACTAGAACTGAACTAGAACTGAACTAGAACTGAACTAGAACTGAACTAGAACTGAACTAGAACTGAACTAGAACTGAACTAGAACTGACTAGAACTGAAGTAGAACTGAACTAGAACTGAACTAGAGCTGAACTAGAACTGAACTAGAACTGAACTAGAACTGAACTAGAACTGAACTAGAACTGAACTAGAACTGAACTAGAACTGAACTAGAACTGAACTAGAACTGAACTAGAACTGAACTAGAACTGAACTAGAACTGAACTAGAACTGAACTAGAACTGAACTAGAACTGAACTAGAACTGAACTAGAACTGAACTAGAACTGAACTAGAACTGAACTAGAACTAAACTAGAACTGAACTAGAACTGAACTAGAACTGAATTAGAACTGAACTAGAACTGAATTAGAACTGAACTAGAACTGAACTAGAACTGAACTAGAAATGAACTAGAACTGAACTAGAACTGAACTAGAACTGAACTGAACTAGAAGTTGGGGCGTAAGAGATTAAATTTTTGTTTAGAATTAAAATGTCCAAATATGTATTTCAGAAATTTCTATTTTGATATTTAAATTTAGTTTATTTTCAAATATTTAAACGCTTACACCAAAGTACCATAGTAGTATATTATGAAAAGGAAACATATTTAGGAAACAGTAGATGAAAAAAAAAAAAAAAACTAAGAAAAAAACCCTTATTAACAATTCAGGTCAATAGTCCGACTGAGATTAAATAATATAAAAATTATCATCATCCACCTCCTCCATCGCCTCTTCCACACAGAAGAAGTAGCAGCAATTTCATACATTATTTATTATGTTATTAAAAGGAGAAATGACTTCCGTGTGTGTAATATTTTCTTTGCTCTTCTCATAATTTTGTACATATTTTTCGTTTTCATACATTCATACTCCTCTCTACATAGACGTTTTCTATACAATCTTTAAATTGTTTGACTTTAACGTATAAAAGAAATAAAGAAGAGATAAAAAATAATAATGATAAGGTAGCAGAAAAAAAAATAATATTATAGAAAAGAAATCTTGCTGAAGGGAAACATGTTCTTCCCACATTATTCCCAAACTCATATAATGCAACCAATGTATAAATAAGGAGCATTATACACATAAATTTGTCTTTCTTTCTTTATATTTTTTTGTATATTCTATATTATGTATTATGATTATCTAAATAAACCATCGGAATGAAGTGGAGACACGAGTACTTATTTCAGTTCTTAGAGGGTTGTTAAAGTTTGTTACAAAGCCCATGGCTTAATTGCTAAATTGATTAAATCCATTTTGAAAAATAGGAAAGTATTAAAGGAGAAATAAGAAAATAATGTTAAAACGATTTTGCCATAACCGCCTCATACCATAATATAAGACTATATTTTGTCTTTCTTTAATCAAATTTAAATAGTGGAGATAATCATTTTGACAACTTAAGAACTGTGCTAATTTTGAAGGGAGAAAAGTATAAATATTTATGTTAAGAATTCAATTCAATAAATCATTATTTAATAAATACTATTTTTGAAATTCGTACACAGCTCTTAAATAACCAGATTCTTAAAAGAACACGTCAAATATCAGACAATTTTATTGGGTACCTTTATAAAACTTAGCGCAGCCTATAAAAACATCATCTCTATACTTCTACCCATCACTTCCTCTTTCTATGACAAACTTTACAACATTATTTTTTTATGGGTTTCTCAAAAGTAAAGACAACAAACAAAAATCTACATAATACGATGACAGCTACAAAACATGGAGCAAAAAAGCTACGAAACCCTAAAAGAACAAACTACAAGTAGGAAAAAAAGTCGAGAGCCCTGTCTGAGGGGGTTGAAGATACACCCGTATAAGTTTCATAGTTTTCACTTGAATAAAAACTAAAGGATTAAAAACATACGTAGGAAAAAAAGGATACACCCACCACTTACGAACGTATGTATATGTAGAGTCACGCACATAAGGCAAATTGAGAAGGCTGTAACTGAAAAATAAACAACTTCAAAATTGGAGCATAAAAAAGTTTCATATTTGAAGCCTTTTTCATTTTCTTAGCTTTCCTTGTATTTTTTTTAAGGCAATAATAAGGTTTAAATGGAGCGTAATATTTTAACAAACTATTCTACGTTTGAGTTAGTACCAGAGTGGTAGAAATAAGTCTGTCATTTCTTTCAATTTCTTTTTGTGTTTCCATATTGCATATTAATATACATATTCAGAATCTTTAAAGGGAGGATATTCAAATTTCCAGCTGATCCAGAAATAAAAGTTGAAAACCACTATTTTTTGTAAATCCTTCCAAATTAATTCAGTTCTAGCTTAGTACTAATTCAGTTCTAGTTCAGTTCTAGTTCAGTTTTGTTTCAGTTCTAGTTCAATTCTAGTTCAGTTCTAGTTCAGTTCTAGTTCAGTTCTAGTTCAGTTCTAGTTCAGTTCTAGTTCAGTTCTAGTTTAGTTCTAGTTTAGTTCTAGTTTAGTTCTACACTCAAAAAAGTTTTACATTAACTGATTGTAGTTTATCCAAAAAGTTTTCTGTAAAGTTAAAAATCAATGAAAATTCATTTATTTTATTGAAAATAATATTTTTTAACCTTTTGGATATGTTGTTTAAACAACAAACTACAGAAAAAAATGTTTTTTTCTTTACAGTTAATATTATTGGTAATTATTTTTGTTTTTAAAAAATTAAAAAAAACATTTCCGGTAAAAGTTTTAAATGCCAAAGAAAATAATAAAATAATTTTAAAAAACACAATTTGTTATTTTTTTTATATAAAATACAGATTTATGTATATTTTAAATTGGCGTAATAATAGCGATATAAATGGTAAGTTAGCATTAAGTATGCATTTTATTAAAAATATTTTATAAAAAACGCCTGTTTTAGTTTCATCAAAGTCGTGAGTTCCTTATAATTGCATGTTATTTAAAGGTAAGATTTCTACATACTAATTCTTAATCCAATTAGAATATCTTAAGATTTTATTTTACCCTGGACTATTTTACTGAAAAGTGTTAATGTTGGTGTTGATGTTTGCAATGCATCGACGTGGATTGTTTACTACATTCGTCCATCCGTCCGTCCGAGTGTCTATGTCACAAGATATTTTTATAAAATTTGCCAAAAGAGGTTTTCTTTGGTGTAAGGACTAAGATTATAAAAACTGTTTAAAATCGGGCTACCATCTCCATAAAAATGTCGTCCGAAACTGGAAATTAGAATTAACAATTTGACCCTCATAAAATCTGCAAAAATAAATTTATATAACCAGAACCAATCGGCTTCATTTAGTCGATCTAGACCGGTTATGCTTTTTTAAAACTTTGTTAATAGTACATTTTGATAAATATTCTTTATTTTTTAGATCTAGAAATCTTCTATATTCCTTTTTAAAATACAAGGTGAATGTCCAAAAACTTGCTACCAAATATAGAGGCTGGTGCATTGACAGCTATTAAATCGTAAGTATGCATTTGTCACAAATTTTACATAATATACATATTTTATAAAAAAAATTTCTTCTTTTTAGTTTCTTCAGATTCTTGTGCTATTTGTGTGCAATTTCACGTTGTTCAAGTACTAGAACTATCAATGGCCAAAAACTTGCTGTTAAAACGTTTCGGGATATCGGAGTAATAATATCATTTTAATCGATTTTTTTTAAATTGTTATTAGTCATTTGATGTGTTACCATATTGTATGTAAATCTGTTATATTTATCATAATAATCGATTTTCTAAATAGTTAAGATATTTCTTATATCACTATAATTAAATAAATACATATGTGCATAAATCCAAAGAAAAAGCAGTTAGTTTAACTTTACTGGGAGTTTGTTTTTTGTCATTAAAAACAACAGAAAATACAGTAGAAATTACTTTTTTGTAGGTAATTTTTTGTAAGTTAAAATAACTGAAATTTTTTTCATTTTTACTGTTTTTGTAGGTAAAATATTTTATGTTGAAATTACTGAAAAAAACATTTCTTTCTACATAATTTGTTAGTTATAAAAATAACATTCAAAAATAATTGAAAAATTCTTTTGATTTAAATGAAAAGTTTGTAGTCCGTTTTTTAAATGATATTTCATTTGTTTAAAATGGCTTTTCAGTTGAATTTACGTACAAAATATTTTGAGTGTAGTTTTGTTCTAGTTTTGTTCTAGTTTAGTTCTAGTTTAGTTCTAGTTTAGTTCTAGTTTAGTTCTAGTTTAGTTCTAGTTCAATTCTAGTTCAGTTCTAGTTCAGTTCTAGTTCAGTTCTAGTTCAGTTCTAGTTCAGTTCTAGTTCAGTTCTAGTTCAGTTCTAGTTCAGTTCTAGTTCAGTTCTAGTAGTTCAGTTCTAGTCAGTTCTAGTTCAGTTCTAGTTCAGTTCTAGTTCAGTTCTAGTTCAGTTCTAGTTCAGTTCTAGTTCAGTTCTAGTTCAGTTCTAGTTCAGTTCTAGTTCAGTTCTAGTTCAGTTCTAGTTCAGTTCTAGTTCAGTTCTAGTTCAGTTCTAGTTCAGTTCTAGTTCAGTTCTAGTTCAGTTCTAGTTCAGTTCTAGTTCAGTTCTAGTTCAGTTCTAGTTCAGTTCTAGTTCAGTTCTAGTTCAGTTCTAGTTCAGTTCTAGTTCAGTTCTAGTTCAGTTCTAGTTCAGTTCTAGTTCAGTTCTAGTTCAGTTCTAGTTCAGTTCTAGTTCAGTTCTAGTTCAGTTCTAGTTCAGTTCTAGTTCAGTTCTAGTTCAGTTCTAGTTCAGTTCTAGTTCAGTTCTAGTTCAGTTCTAGTTCAGTTCTAGTTCAGTTCTAGTTCAGTTCTAGTTCAGTTCTAGTTCAGGTTTCTAGTCAGTTCTAGTTCAGTTCTAGTTCAGTTCTAGTTCAGTTCTAGTTCAGTTCTAGTTCAGTTCTAGTTCAGTTCTAGTTCAGTTCTAGTTCAGTTCTAGTTCAGTTCTAGTTCAGTTCCTAGTTCAGTTCTAGTTCAGTTCTAGTTCAGTTCTAGTTCAGTTCTAGTTCAGTTCTAGTCAGTTCTAGTTCAGTTCTAGTTCAGTTCTAGTTCATTCTAGTTCAGTTCTAGTTCAGTTCTAGTTCAGTTCTAGTTCAGTTCTAGTTCAGTTCTAGTTCAGTTCTAGTTCAGTTCTAGTTCAGTTCTTAGTTCAGTTCTAGTTCAGTTCTAGTTCAGTTCTAGTTCAGTTCTAGTTCAGTTCTAGTTCAGTTCTAGTTCAGTCTAGTTCAGTTCATTGTTCAATTCCTAGTTCAGTTTCTAAATTATATTGTTTATAATACTGTTGCGCTAAATCATTCCTCTAAATTAAGGCAATTTAACAAATAATGTTATCGCAAATTTTTCAATTTAAAAATAAAACATTAGCAATTGTATAACATGTTTAAACATTAAATAATTGCTATAAAAAAGGATAAATTGATTTTAATTTAAACCAGACAGTAGATTTTTTTCCTTCTACTACAAAACATGCAATATTTTTCTGATTGTAGGACTAATAGAAAAAAAGTCAAATAATTCACAATGTGTTTTTTGTGGTAATTACTAGGTCACATTTAACGAGGTTAATAGAAAAAACAAAATTGTATTGAAAAAAATTATATTAATTTTGGCTTCTTTTTTATATAATGGTTTAAGGCCTAGAAAAAAAATAAAGTATTGATTTATATTTTTAGCATGTGGTATTTTAATGTTTTTTGGTTTATATTTAAATATTTAATTGTGACAATAGCTTTGGTATAAAAAAAAACAATAATTTTTGCAATAATAAAGCAACAAATGCAGGAGGCATGTAAAATGAGTTTTAGTATAGTTTTTTAAATGAAACTTTCTGGTGCTCTTACATTGTCAAAACTATAGCAAATCTCAATTGCTTTGGTGTCTTTAAACAAATACTTTAAAAACTCTCAACCAAATGAGAATTACATTGATTGTTTTGTCATGATTTACAGGTTTTTAGCTATACATTATGTCTAATGCCAAAATTTTATTCGGTGCTTTTTACTTATTTCAATAATTTTATCATATGACCCTCATATACATGTGTATATTTTTTGTGTTTTTCTTTATTTAAATTTAGTTTGCTGCTATACACATATTTTTACGAGTTAATTGACAGTAGCAAAGGTTTATAAATTAAAAAAATATTTACATTAAAATAAAACTAATAATAATTTTTTATGCTCTAGTGATTTTTTTGTTCAACACTTAAATTTGTATAAATACACATAATGATAAATAGTATTTATTTTTTGTTTTGGCAACAATTATTAATTTTTTTATATAAAAACTAAATATTATGCAAAAGCCTAGTATTTGATTCAACAAAAGCTTTTAAAGCATATTGTAAATTAACTCTTAATTATTATTAAACAAAAGTAAAAAGCAAATAAATTTGTTAAATTATAGTAAAAATATTCATTAAATTTAACAGCAAAAGCAGGATATGAAAAGCGAATTTTAATAGAAAATTTGTTTATTTATTATTTTTTAAAAATTTTATAAAAAAAGTTCTGTTTAATCACCCTTTCATATTCTGTAAATCACGGTCCATAATTGATCCCCAAGTCGATTCAACCGAAAATATCTTCTATTATTTATTACAATTGCCCTCTAATAGAATTTAAAAAGAAATATATTTTCAACCTTAAAATGCCTAAATAAAAAATTAGCTTTTTAAATATTTAACCATAATTTACAAGAAAATATTCAATTTTTCACACAAATTTGAAATTATGACACAAAAAATCTTTAATCAAATGAGGCAGAATATTTATAAAGAAGTCCCCCAACCCTTTTTCCCCCTAAAAATCGCCGCTAAAAGTCTGCATGAATGAGTGAATGTATGTCTAATTTCTTTAACTAATGACAACAATTATTCTTACGCTATTTACATGAAAACGTATAAATTATTTGTGTAAAATAACCAAAACTAAAATTTGCAAAAAGGCGCAAAATCAAAAGAAATTAATTGCTAAAGGTGTGAGCGAGTTTTTTTTTGTAAATACTCTATCTTGTCATTTTGAAATACGTTCGAACAATAATTAAATGGTGTGTAAACTAATTAAAGTCGGTGATTTAATGAATTTATGTATGTATTCGTTGTGGCTCTATTCCCTGTAATTTTATAATACTAAATTTAAGTTAATTTTTCTCATTTTTAGTCTAAAACGTACTTAAAAGTTTAAAAACGATTTCATTACTTAAAGCAATTAATTGCTCAGTTTTAAAATAATTACACATCGGAATCGAGTTCTTGTTCAGTTCTAGTTAGTTAGTTAGTTTGAAAGGAGGATGAATATACATCAAATCCGAAGAAATACACCTAGGCCTCTATCTGGCCTGTTGTGCGCTCCTTAACCAGTGCCTCAGGTGGGAATCGAACCCACCCACCTCCGGTCTACCAGACTAGAACACTAACCACTAACCTACCGGAGGCCACTCAGTTCTAGTTCAGTTCTAGTTCAGTTCTGGTTCAGTTCTAGTTCAGTTCTAGTTCAGTTCTAGTTCAGTTCTAGTTCAGTTCTAGTTCAGTTCTAGTTCAGTTCTAGTTCAGTTCTAGTTCAGTTCTAGTTCAGTTCTAGTTCAGTTCTAGTTCAGTTCTAGTTCAGTTCTAATTCAGTTCTAGTTCAGTTCTAGTTCCGTTCTAGTTCAGTTCTAGTTCAGTTCTAGTTCAGTTCTAGTTCTAGTTCAGTTCTAGTTCAGTTCTAGTTCAGTTCTAGTTCAGTTCTAGTTCAGTTCTAGTTCAGTTCTAGTTCAGTTCTAGTTCAGTTCTAGTTCAGTTCTAGTTCAGTTCTAGTTCAGTCTAGTTCAGTTCTAGTTCAGTTCTATTCAGTTCTAGTTCAGTTCTAGTTCAGTTCTAGTTCAGTTCTAGTTCAGTTCTAGTTCAGTTCTAGTTCAGTTCTAGTTCAGTTCTAGTTCAGTTCTAGTTCAGTTCTAGTTCAGTTCTAGTTCAGTTCTAGTTCAGTTCTAGTTCAGTTCTAGTTCAGTTCTAGTTCAGTTCTAGTTCAGTTCTAGTTCAGTTCTAGTTCAGTTCTAGTTCAGTTCTAGTTCAGTTCTAGTTCAGTTCTAGTTCAGTTTCTAGTTCAGTTCGAGTTCAGTTCTAGTTCAGTTCAGTTCTAGTTCAGTTCTAGTTCAGTTCTAGTTCAGTTCTAGTTCAGTTCTAGTCAGTTCTTAGTTCAGTTCTAGTTCAGTTCTAGTTCAGTTCTAGTTCAGTTCTAGTTCAGTTCTAGTTCAGTTCTAGTTCAGTTCTAGTTCAGTTCTAGTTCAGTTCTAGTTCAGTTCAGTTCTAGTTCAGTTCTAGTTCAGTTCTAGTTCAGTTCTAGTTCAGTTCTAGTTCAGTTTAGTTCAGTTCTAGTTCAGTTCTAGTTCAGTTCTAGTTCAGTTCTAGTTCAGTTCTAGTTCAGTTCTAGTTCAGTTCTAGTTCAGTTCTAGTTCAGTTCTAGTTCAGTTCTAGTTCAGTTCTAGTTCAGTTCTAGTTCAGTTCTAGTTCAGTTCTAGTTCAGTTCTAGTTCAGTTCTAGTTCAGTTCTAGTTCAGTTCTAGTTCAGTTCTAGTTCAGTTCGTAGTTCAGTTCTAGTTCAGTTCTAGTTTAGTTCTAGTTCAGTTCTAGTTCAGTTCTAGTTCTTTAGTTCAGTTCTAGTTCAGTTCTAGTTCAGTTCTAGTTCAGTTCTAGTTCAGTTCTAGTTCAGTTCTAGTTCAGTTCTAGTTCAGTTCTAGTTCAGTTCTAGTTCAGTTCTCTAGTTCAGTTCTAGTTCAGTTCTAGTTCAGTTCTAGTTCAGTTCTAGTTCAGTTCTAGTTCAGGTCTAGTTCAGTTCTAGTTCAGTTGTAGTTCAGTTCTAGTTCAGTTCTAGTTCAGTTC